AAAAGTGGAAATGAAAGCAGACAGCAGAACATTGCTAGAGAGCAAGAAAGGAGGTGAAAGGAGACAATTTTAGAGAAGAAAATGTTTCGGTCGCTACCTGGATTCGAACCCGGGACCTTTGAATGAGAGGCCAACACCATAACCTCTAGGCCACGAGAGCCCCCTCAAGATATTCCAAGAACTGCATTTTAAAAAAGCTTGACATGTTAAGAAACTCAAATTTTCGAGGTCAAATTTCTCAAAACTAGGTACTGAGCAGATAGAACTTAGTAATTCTGAGGTAGTGAGATTTCATCTTGCTCCAAGAGATATATATGATTTCTGTCCATGATTCATGAGGAAACTAGTTATCCGGTTTTCTTTATGTTGTCTCAAAAGTACAGCTTAGCGAAGAATCGAGTCCTGAATCCATCCCCACGATTAATGCTACGGAACAAAAGTTCCGACTTCTTTACAAAAGTTCCGACTTCTTTTAACGAAAAGCAACGATAACCTGTTACTTTTATCATAAAAATCTTTTTCTTTTTTAATTAATTTTTTTTTAAAAAGAAGTTGATGCTTCGTAGTGTTCCAAAATCAAGGTTATCCTAAATCCCTAAGATGTTCGGAGCCAACCAAGAAACCACCGGTAGAAATCACATAATTAGAAAGTAAGTAATTGGGTTCCGAGTCGATTCCTACGATTTCTAGCTCTCAATAATCGGGAACCTAGCCGCCCAGCCCTACCCAAAAGTATCTTGTACTTGGGTCTTGAGCTAGCAGGAAGGCAGTCCCCGAGGACAGCTGATCAAGTGCATGCTGTTGTTGTGTGAGAGGAGAGGTATGGTCTAGACGGTCAGAGCAAGAACTGTTGAAGGTGGTAACAACACAACACACAACACACAACACACAACACGTACTTGGCACCGTGTAAGGCAAATGGGTAGTCTCTGTGATTACTTCTTAATTAAACGGCGTCGATACCAGGCTCTTAAACTACAGACAAACAAGAGGTGTCGCGTGAGCGGTAATGCAATTAAGTGATAATCGGATACCCGGCGCCAGACGAACACGCGCAGCGCTTTGCGAGGCAGCAAGATAAGAGAGGGGGGTCATCCTTTACCTGCGGCCTGGGGCCTGGACAGTAGGCCTCTATCTCTAAAGGGCTTGGCTTCGACTACATGACATGATAGTATAAGAGCAATGATAGTACATAACAAGATGGGCCACTTCTCTCTTTGAGCCAATTAAAAAAGTGTCCTCAAAATTTGGTGGCGCCCTCTTTACAAAAGCGCACTCTTTGCGAACAGAGTTACCCTACTTGAGTTTTAAAAAATCAAAGTGAAACTAGCAAGTTTTGGGATAAATTTCGGAAGAACGCTTTTTAAAAATGGTTAC